TCAAAATCAGCTGGTACTCGGCTGTTATCGGGGGGGGGGGGGCAGGCGTTCAGCGGGCCAGTTTTTTTCTTTATTCCTGAAAAGGATGTCGAATGGAAATCGGAACACTTTAAAAATTCGAAATTTTGTTCCAAAAATCGTTATATTTTTGGTTTTTTTTTTAATAGAAAAATGTAAAAATTTTTACGTGTAACAATCAATAAATTCAACACTGTTTAAAACTTCTCTAAAAAGCACCCGAAAAAGGAAAGATTATCTAAAAAAACTACAAAAATGCAAGTTTTGGCCGAAAAACCTATATTTTTGATTTTTTTTACTAAAAATTCGTAAAGAGTGCGTAAATTTAGGGTACCAAAAATAGTTGAAAATACTTTCTCTAGTTACATCAGAAAAACCGGATTGTAAAGCGACAATTTGCCCACCCCCGATAACGCGAAAGCACCGGAACTTGTTAAGGCGACTGGAACAAGTTCAAAAATGCAATTATGGCAATGGGGGCCTATGTGTGTGTGCCGAGGGGCAGAATAGAAACTCTACCCGAGCACCAGCATCCACCGGTTTGGTCTCCCCGTCATTCTCCTCCCATCCACTCCTCACACTCCGGGGATACAACCCTTTCCGGGCACCAAAAGCCCCTCTTCTCGGCTTCAGAATCCAGAAATAGGACCCCTCAAGGAGTAGCCGATGCGGGGGAAACCCCCCAGATTTGGAAGCATGACCCTGACATCACACCTCCAAGATGACAACACCAAAGTTTACGGGAAGCAGCTTGAGTAGAGCTAAACAAATATACTAAATCAGAACCATAAATAACTCAAAAATGTTCTAAAAATAGAAGCTAAACTAAGTTCATCTAATCTACAAAAAAAATACAAAAATACTGCGAATGTAATGAGAACAACACTTGCGCGGTCGAACTTTGTAGCCAGATTTTCCTGCTTGACGTTAAAAGTTAAATTAGCAGAATACAAACCAAAACAACACCATTTTAAAATTAAATTAGTTGGACAAGGAATCCCCCCCTCCGTCGACTAGGAATAGACAGATACGCGCGGCGCTAAGACGCTACATTGCAATTGAGAAAATGAAATTAAGCTAAAACCGGTTGGTGTGGTGCGTAGTTGTCTAGACCTAGTCGACGAAAGGGTCGATTCTAACGCTCCCCGGACATTTAAGGAACACGAACTTATTTTTTTCTAACGAAAAATGAAATTTTTATAACGGAAGGCGCTTTACAGTCGGCAAAATGCTTTTAAATCCGCCAAAAAAGCAAAGAAAAGAAGAAAAGCGGCGACAACCCCACCCGGGCAGGCGGTAAACCTTCCCAGCCCAAACCTTCCAGATAAAGTATGTCTGAAGGACAAGGCAAAAGAAACGAGTGGCCCCGTTGTTTCAAGAAGTTTCCCGGGGGGACCTCATCCCCGTCTATCCCCCCCATCCTGACTCGACCCCCACCGGGACACCCATTTCCGCCTAAAAAAAAATCCCAAAAACCCCACAAAAAAAAACCAAAAAATAAACCACCCAAAAAAACCAAACCCAAAAAAAAAACCCCCAAAATAATAAAAAATAAAAAAAAAAAAAAATTTTTAAAATATACAAAATACCAAACCCCCCCACCCCCCCCCCCCCCCCCTCTAAAACCAAAAAATAAAAAAAAAAAAAAGAGCCCACACCCCCCCCCCCCCCCCCCCCCCCAAAAAAAAAGGCGTAAACCCCCCCCTCCAGGTTGGACCCCCCCCCCCCCCAACATAACCCTTTTTTTTTTTCATTTTCTTCCCCCCACATCCCCACCCTCCCAAAACCCCCAAAAAAAAAAAATTAAAATTAAAAAAATATAAAAAAAAAAAAAAAAAAAAAAAAAAAAAAAAAAAAAAAAAAAAAAAAAAAAAAAAAAAAAAAAAAAAAAAAAAAAAAACCCCACAAACCAAAAAAAAACAAAAAAAAAAAAAAAAAACAAAAAAAAAAAAAAAAAAAAACACCAAAAAAAAAAAAAAAAAAAAAAAAAAAAAAAAAAAAAAAAAACAAACCCCCCCCCCCCCCCCCAAACACAAACCCAAAAAAAAAAAAAAAAAAAAAAAAAAAAAAAAACCCCCAAAACCCCCCCCCACACCCCCCCCAACCCCTACAAAAAAAAAAAAAAGTAATTTTTTCCCAAAAAAAATATTTTTTTTTTTTTTATTTTTTAAAAAAAAAAAAAAAAAAAAAAAAAAAAAAAACAAACAAACACGAACTAATAAAATTATTTTCTTTCCCCCACCATTTTGGGGGGGAAAATTCAACTTCCCTAGTAAATACCCTAAACATGCTGTCCAGCTCATCCGGCCCATCCTACCCCAATCTAAATTCGGAATCGCTCACTTTGGCTGCTGCTGCTGGGCAAGCGGCCAAATTGGGGGCTCCCTACCCTGGGATTGGTATGGGGGACAATGGTTTGAGGGGGAGTTGCCTAAACGAATCCCTATTTAGGTGGTAACGTAGTTTTGTAATTTCGCGTAGCTCATTCGCTAGAGATTGAATTTCTGAATGAGCGCCAGCTTTCAAAAACTGCAGAACTATATTCGATTTGAAAGGCAGATTTTGCGCATTTTTGGCTAACCGCTTGACAAGACGCAAAGAGTTCTCCTACTATTCCGTGTTCGCGCAGTAGTTTTGAAAGCTTGAGTTTGTTCAGAAGTTCAGGCGCTTTCGAATGATGATATATCTGTCGAAGAATCTTTAGTACCTTAATCCGGTTCTTCTAATCAGCAAAAGCAAAGGGTACAGCTTTCTTCGGCTTTTATAACTTCGAAGGCTATTTAAAAACAGAAAACACATGAAAATCCGTAAAATGCCGTAGCCCGTCGCTTTCCCTGGGGTCTCAGTGGTCAGCGAAGCGTCACCAAATGTTGGTAACTCGATTGGGAAGTTGCCGTAAGACCCTCATCCTCCAAAAAGACTCGTACTCGTAGATAAAGGTAGATTAACTTAAGTTAAAGCTGAAAAAGCCGACGGTCACGTGACCGAAACTCGTTTCACCGAAATCTAATGATCGTCGAAAAATTGGCTTTTGCGTAGAACCCCGTTCGTGGGTTTTGAAATTTAGCTGTTGTTTTCTGCGAAATGCAAGACAAAATTGAACTTCATAGTAATTGGCCCGATCATCAGGCTTTCGGCGAAATGACTTTTCGAGAAAATGCGTTTTTGGTGAAATCAATAGTCGGTTAAAAGTTTTTGGTCAACTTTTCGGCGAAGGAATCGCAAAACCGAAAAGCCAGAAAAATAAACTTTGGTAATTAACGTAAAGTTCAAGTCTTAAACAACACGAGGGCCTAGGAGGTTGAAGGAGTACGGCCACAAAAAATGGTGGCAGGTGGCCAAAAGTATTACGGGTACGGTTAGTCGCGCGCATCGGCGCACAAAAAACGGCTGCGCCTGCCCAAGCGCTAGCGCGGGCTTGCCTCGAGAAAAGGGGGGCGCTTCTTGCCCCGCCAAACACGGGGGCAAGACGGCCGGCGGGCAGAAGAAGAGGTCTGATACGCGCGTATTGACTGCGACCGTCCCCGGGGACCTCACGACGAGGGGCTCTGACGGAGCGGAGAAGCACAACGAGAAGCCCATGGCTGGTTGAAGGGCCCGAAGGAAGGAAGGGGGGCGGGGGGCGGCGGCATCCCCTCCCTTCTTCTTCTTCTTCTTAGGCCTTCTCATCCACCACCTCCTCCGGTGGAAGCCACATTCAACCAAATCCCCCCACATTGCCTTCACACACACACACAAACGGAGCACAACCAAAAACAGACACACACGCCCTGGCCGGCCATGTGCGCAACTCTTCCACCCGGGCCCCAGCGCGCGTCTGTGAGTGACACCTAAAAATAGAAAATGGGCCGCACTGGGGCGTATCGAGTTGGGCCAGAGATCGGCGTGAATTTAGGGGTATTTAGGTAATTTTTGGTTAGGCCAAGCAGGTGTTAATTCATTTTAACTCGGGATACTTTATATATAACTACACCGATAACTTGATATTGTTAAACTACAGCGTCAAAATTGCAAAGCAAGTTTTAGTATTTGGTGTAGTTTTCAGTTCAGTCAAGCCGTTTTTAAGCTATTTTACCCCCGGGATGCTTTAAATTTACCGAGTCAGATACCTTTAGGGCTTTTAGACCTCCGCGAAGCGTTTTAAATTTTTTTTTTTTTTTAAAAAAAAATATTTTTTTTTTTTTTTTTTTTTTTTTTTTTTTTTTTTTTTTTTTTTTTTTTTTTTTTTTTTTTTTTTTTTTTTTTTTTTTTTTTTTTTTTTTTTTTTTTTTTTTTTTTTTTTTTTTTTTTTTTTTTTTTTTTTTTTTTTTTTTTTTTTTTTTTTTTTTTTTTTTTTTTTTTTTTTTTTTTTTTTTTTTTTTTTTTTCGGATAGAAAGCCACCGTTAAAAACCTGGAAAAGTATAATTGAAAGAAATAATAAAATGTTTAATGAAAATGCTAATGCGCGGGAATAAATGAGCATGAATCATGTTAGACAGATTGCGCCGAAGAGATAAAACCATAGCGCGAAAAATGGGCTGAACCCGGTTCTTCGCAGTTTTCTACTTCCCACTTCCTGATCGGAATGCGAAGTTTTCCTACCATTAACGAAAGACTAAGGGCTTTTCTAAGGCTTCCTAAGTCTAAGAACTCAGCTTCAACAGTTATTACCATCCCAGGTGCTTTCTAGCCAGCAAATCCACTCACAACTCGCAACAACCCAACACCCCAAAACTCAGGGCCCTCGATTCAATCCCTAATCACGCAGGCTACGTCACGGGCTGCCGGGGGCTCGAAGTGCCCCGTCGGCGTCCATTGCAAGTCGCGATTGACATCCAGATATGGGCGAAAGTATGGCCCGGGGCCAGGGCCCCGGCCACGACTCCCCGGCACCACTCCATTCAACGCATCCCAAAACCCATTTATTCAGGCACACACGCGCGCTGGAACGAATCAGGGGGCGGCGCGCACGGTGGTTGTTGGTGGACGGGCAGCCGGATTATTTCTTCTTCTTCTTGCTGTTGTCGAATACATTGTCGTTGACCTGGGCGAGCGTCTGAAAGTACGACGTATCAAATTCATACCGGCGGTATATCGGCACCGATTTACGCAGAGATTAACAAAGAGCCGCTCTTGGGGGATAATTGAGTTATGCGATGCGATGTAGCCAGTTTTATAGAGGTTGAAGTCCTGGACAAACCGATCTTTCAAAAATTGTGAGCGTTAACGACCTTCGAAGAAAATTCATATAAGAGGGTTCTGGCCAGCTTTAGAAAGATAGAACGATGTTCAGAATTACAAGCTCCATATTATGAGCTATGCCACACCGCCCCTAGCAGGTTCGTGCGCCCAAAAAAGTAGCCTCGCCTGGTAATTCGGGTCACGGCTGTTTGCCTTCTGGTCGCGGTCCGCCGGCGCCCTGATTTTCTGAAAACACGCCAAATCGACTCAGGACAAGCAAGAGCTCGTCTACCGACTGATTGTTCTGGCAGCAAGCCAAATGCCCATTGACGTACAGATAGTAGACGACGGCCACCACGGCGATCAAGAACAGAAACTGAGAAACCGGCAGGGTTTCACGCGAACAAATCCCTACCATAAAAGCACCCATTGTCGTAACTGAATTGAAAAGTAAGTTAGAGTACGAATAGAATGAATTTCAGATTTTAGCGCGTCTGAGCCAAACGGGGGATAATAATTATGCAAAGTCATATTTTCCAATTTTCCACACGGTGGCTGTATCTTTGGCGTTTTCTACTCGTCACCTGAGTAAATCTATACAATTTATGAGATAGCAATTCTTAATTCCACGAATCAACTCACATAAAAAACAATCGAAAACTAAAACCACCGCGAACGTCTGGCTAACGGCAACAGGGCCTGTTCGACAGTCTGATGTTCGTGGAGCAAATTGCCGACGTTGGCCCTTTTCCGCACCTGGTGCTTCGAGCCCTCCGTCCGTTTTGGCTAAAATCGGATTGATGCCATTTCAACGGTCATAAACTACCTTTCCAGGCATCCGTTCGGCGTCTAGCTGCTCTGATTCGTATCTTCTCAAATCATTCAACGAGCTGAACCCGTGCGCTTCCATATAATCTTGCTCGGCTCTCTAAACCAAAATAAAACAAAGACAAAGCCGCTTACCCTGGAGCAATAAGGTACTGATAAAAGCTTCATCGTATCCCATTCTCGAGTGAAACGCTCACGCAACAAGTTGACCCGGGCCTGCGTGACGGGGTAATCCGGTCGACCAGTGCTAAATAAGAAAAACTAATTCTTGGGCGAAAATTACACTTACGCTTTTTGGAAGGGCAACGTCGGGCCGCGATAACCAACTTCCCATACTCGTCTGTCCCAAATCGGGCGATTCAGATTTCGGAACGCCGGTCTTGTAAAAAACATCTGAACGAAAGGCTAAAAACCATACACAAAAATTCACCTGGAATGCTGCTCGCCAACTGGAGGTTGGTGCGACTGAAGAACACGGCGGTTTGCACCTGAAAATTCAGAGTAGTCACCGTCTTAAAAGGCTTTATTTTTCAACCAAGAAAAAAGGTTGGAACGCTCTATAAAAACTTTTCTTTATAAAAGTTCCAAATGAAGGAAAAACTCTTCTGCGTTACACCCGGAAACGCAAGAGTACTATCGACAGCAGCTTGGGACGGGAATTTGGGGAAGAAATTCGGCTAGTCAACTTTGTTTTCGTTTTGTATACCTAAAGTTCAATTTTTGTGCTCTAAAAGTGTGAAATTCGGATTCAGCACATAAAACTAGGGTATACGGCGGTTTTTAAGGCCGATCTAGCGCCACGGATCTGCAGATTTTCAAAAAAACCTAAAAATTGTTATTTTCAGTAGTCATTCTTTAGGCATTCAACTATTAAAGGCATCCGGAAATCATCTTTATCTGCACATTCAGATTACCAGCGCCATTTCATGCGCCCAGTGCCTGCAGCAGCATTGCAGCTGATGAAACGCGCTCACGTCGCGACGAACGTAGCCTTCGTGACGAAACGGGAAAAGGAAGAGGTGCGTTGAAGTTTTGTTCTTGAAATCCGATTATAGATATCCGTCCCTTCTCATTATGGAAGTGATGGGGAGCAATCGACGAGTACAGCTTTCAAGAATATTTTCAAGGTGTGTTGATTTTGCCTAAAACCTCGATTTTCTTTTTGCAACCTTGTTTCAAATCAAACCAAACCTCGTTTTGCAGCGCTTAAAATTGTCCATTTGTATAGACAACGCTTCCGAGCAAAATATTCGTTTTCCAGAAGTTCAAACGACGCGTTCCACCGCCGGATTTCTCCGATGTTGTCGATCCAACGTTAGCCAACGCTTTGAAAGGCATCGCCGTGGAACGTCTAGGCACGAAGGTGGTTTAGGTGCGAAACTAACACTTAATATGAATCTTTTTAGGATTTCCAAGTTAGCGCCGATGACGCCGAGCTTCTGGGCCTGAAACCCATTGAGGAATGGCGTATCACGACGATTAAAGGGCGCGAAGGCCTCTACATATTACCGTCTATAATTCGGTATTTTGCCTTGTTGCCAGAAATATTTATTGGAAAAATTCCAGGGAAGAGGCTCACCTCAAATGGCTGCAACGATGCTTCCAATACGCAGAAACACCCAATATCACAAATCTGACGGCGCATGACAATACTCCAAAAACGTGAGAAGCATTGGATTGAATGGTTATGACCTTTTTAGCGACTTTCTACGGAGCGCCGCCAAAAGCTTACGCTGGACGACGCTGGGAGTTGATTATAATTGGACGACGAAGGAATATCCGCTTGAAGGAAGGCCTTTGCCGATCGAATTAAAGAGATTAGCTACGGTGAGTGGTGTAAAATGACTTCTAAACTCAACACTTTAAAAAGTTATCATTTCAAAAGCCGCTATTCCGAAAACTAATTATTTCGAAATTACCAACTTTTATTTATATTCGACATTTTTGATCTGTTTTGATAATGACAGTTTTGTATTCTGTTACAAATTACTATTATATTTAGATAGTATGCGATGCAATCGGCGTCGGCAAGATGGAAGCTGATGCGGCGATCGTCAACTATTATCCACCAAAATCTACATTATCGCCTCATCAGGATAGGTTTGTAGATATTACATATTTTATTGAATACTAGGCACATTTGGGCAAAGTGCATACCTTTCTTTAATGTGTTATCGCGGCGGAGCTGATGTCGTCGTGAGACACGCACTGCCCCCCGGCTCACCAGACAGGTGTGGTAAAGTGCGAAGGTCAGCAGCCTGTCACCCACACATCCCGGGTTCTATGTCCGGCCCTGACCGAGGGCATCACGTTCAATTGTTCCCAGCGGTTCGACCCTATAGAACCGGTGGATTTTAATGGACGGAGAGCAAAGAGCCGACTTCACCCACTCCTCAATCAGAGATCTGGGGTGTGGATTTAGAGGCTCGACAATTGTTTTCAAAAATTCTTTTGCTTTAGCGGCCAAGGAATTTACCTGACGTTTCCAGATTTATAACAAAAAAATCGATAATGTATTTCTAATTGTGTTTCACTTTTTCGAACGATACGTAAAGTAAAGCTCCGTCTACGAAATATCGATTTCGGCTACGAAATATCGATTTCGCTACCTAAATTATCAATTTTGTCTAAAGTTTCGAAGTTGTTAAAGTTTTTTATTGCTAGATGTAGGCTTTTTAGAAAGTTCTAAAAATTTTTATATTGTAGGAAATACTATCGGAAAATATTAGCTCACCATCAATAATGCCAAAGTACCTAATTGTCTTATCTCGAACATTCAACGCAAAATTCTTTACTTTAGATCCGAGCGAGACCTAACACGCGCCCTCGTCTCCGTCAGCTTTGGCCAATCGGCCGTCTACCTAACCGGCGGCACATCTCTCGACGACCCGATCCTCCCCATATGGCTCCATTCTGGAGATGTTCTTGTGATGCATGCCGGTTTGTTTTGTCCATTTTTTGCAACTTTATTATCCCAGATCAACGCCTCGTCTACCACGCCGTCCCCTGCATCGTGTCCACGCGAAAATTTGACGGCGCCACAAATAAGGGGAAGGCAGAAGAGAACGTAGAAGAAGACAAAGAGCTGCTGGACTACGCAAACACCAGTCGGGTCAATATCACAATAAGACAAGTCAACGAGTAGTTACTGTTAGGCATTGATTTTCGCTAATAAATATCTTTTATTGGGCACAAGGTCTGGCTGAGGATCTGCACGTCATGAGCTAAAATATCACCGGGAGAGGCCTAATACGAGCGACACTATGTACAACATCAGGCTTCTTCAATCCTACCACCTCCGCCTGTGGAAACGCAGAGAGCGATCCATACCGAACGGGAAGCTGGCGAACAGGGTCCTGAAGGTGTTTTTTTACAAGGATAATCGTGTTTTTATACTTTTCTGCTATTCTGCTCAGCCGGCGCTCGTCGATACCAAAATCGGTTCTGATTAAGAGTTTACGGGAGAGCACGTTGATGCGGATGTTGTCGAGGTGTAGCACTGGAAGGTAGGGCTTTTTGCGCTTTTTCGTTAGCGGGGGCCTAACTTTTTTCTATGATTCCGTAGGCCCTGTGATGAAATCACCGCCAGTTTAATAAATTTTAATCAATTTTATTTTTGGAGAAAATTAAGTTTTGCACTAAATTTGCGACCCACCACTCGGAATCGGGATCGGCACGCCGCTGTTCAGCATCTCGTTGACCATATTCTCGATCAGCTGTCCGCCCAACAAAGCGATGTCAGCCAGTTCGGCATTGGTAATCTAGTCAATCGGAACCTGCTGCAAGAGTTTCTTACCTCCAAGTTCCCAAAGCGATTCAGCAGCTCGAATCGCGTTAGCCGTACCGAACCGCTGACGTTGTTTTGCTAAATTTCACCGTGAGTCGTGAAGTTAGCGATAATTCTTATATGATTGGTTTTTACAGATAATTTTATTACTACAAATCACGATTTATATAATTCTTTCTAAGATACCTAATAGTTTTAGCTTACCTTAACGCTCAGCAAGGTATCGGCTACAATCTCGAGGTCGAACACGGCCTCCTGGCGCTTTTGCGTGCCCAGCTCCACGTAGAGGATAATCACCCCACCAATGTTTATCGAAATTACGCCTAAAAGTATTAAAGGCCCTAGTTCTAGCTCATTACCTTGATTTTTCTGGCTGAAAAGCATGGCCGGGGCTCGGGTAGCGGCAAATACAAGCTCGATGTTGGCTTTCGGGTATTTATCGGAGAGTTGCGGGATGACGTCGGCGATGCACATCGAGTCGCTGAATGTTTTACATTTGGTTTGATTTTTAGGGTAGTACTAACCCGCAATCGGTTTTTAGGAACGTCGAGACGCCGGGTGTGTGTTTGTCGATGTGAAGTTTGATGAGCCGCTGTCTGGAATAGGGATGGTTTGAATGTTGCTTGTAGTTTTAGAGATACTCACTTGTAGGCATGGTATAGCATGCTGTTTGGCACATAATCCGACACCAGCACCCACATCATCGATTCGTCGTTGCGGATCGTCGGCCAGTTCAGGGGCGGAGGCGGAAATGGTGTCCCACCGCGACCGCTATTTGAAATCTAAGAATCGTCTACAGGATTGTAACGGCAAACGGATCTGCGAAATTACAGGTTCTGTTGAACCTTTTCATTTTTTCGGGTTTCTTGTTCGTTACGTTATCGTTACGTTACGACTAAATTTCCTGATTCAGCCTCACTTGGTTGGCTCGATTGCATTATAACAGACTATTTTAGTGTTTTTTCGAAGTTTCCGCTTACTAAAAAGCTAGAAAAATATTAATAAAGTTTTGTATGAATTTTTTTGTATCCTCGAAGGCGTAAAATGCCCTGAAAACAGTTTATAATCCATTATTCGGCGTCTAAGGAAACGGTAGAGATTAGCCCCCCCACCCGCTAACGAACCAGAACCGTACTAATGCATAATTTCTTTCTATTAATTCTGCCGTATAAGCGTGTCTAACTATTTTACCTCTCCAACCGAAGACAGCTCGACCTCGTTGTCGCCGCAGACCGGATTTTCGGCCAACCTAAATTCAAGTATACTCTGTAATCTACAACCCTTACGTATAATCAATTACGAAATCCCGGGAAAACGTTGGCCCGAAGAACTTCTCCAGCGACAGCTCTTCGGGGAGGGCAGGGGTCGGAATGGAGAGCCCGCGAATGGCGTTGGCCGATATCGCATCGGCAAGTGTGGATTTTGTTTGGACCTAGGCTCATTAATTTGGACCAGGAAATTGTTTGTTACCTCGGCCAGCTTCCAATTCAGGTCTTCATCCACGTATTTCCGGATTTTCTTGCAAATGATGCCTTGTAGTAGGGTGCGAACATTGTCGGAGATGCCTTGCTAAAAAAAGTCGTTACTGTTTTCATTCGATTTAGCTACTTTAAAATTGTTAGAAATCTATTTAGAAAGGAACTTAGATTCGAAATTTTAGACGAATCGGGGAAATATAAAAATAGTGCCATCCAAGTAAAGAAAAAGTCTTCACTTTCTTCGAGTGTTTACTTTTCGACTCGTTTTTTGAAGACACCGCTAAAATACCTAGAAGCGACGTTATGTTTTTGAAGAGATGAATTTAGTTGTATAGTTTCTAAAACATATAAAAACTACGTAGATAGCTTGAAAACTTAATAAACCACCTTAAACACCGTGACGGCCAACCCGAAAAGCCCGCCATTGTGGTTGACGACCTCGACGGAACGGATGGTTGTGTGGCAGGCGAGGCTGGTTACACGCGCGCTTCCGTTGTTTTCCTAGGCACGTTTTGGATATATTTTGATGATAAATTCTTACCCGGTGCACGCTATTCTCGATCTGAAAAGACAGCCCTTCGGCCAGGACCTCGGCCTCGCCGGTCAAGTCAAACGGCACCAAGATGTTCACATTGCCGGCGAGGTCGCCGATTAATCTAAAGAGGTTTTTGCTATAAAAACATTAAGAAGCGGTCATCTCTTCTGCTTTTCTATATTTATATCACGGCATTCCACGGAGGCACGGATAGGACCCCCTGGGGCCGCGGCGCAATCGGTTAGCGCCGATCCCAAATCTCGAACAGAGGGTCCGGGTTCGACCCCCGGGACCAACGTACAACCGCTATTTCTCCCCAAAACCTTTGCGAAGCTTTTGCGTTTTGCTTAAAAACAGTGCTCCAGCCATTGAAAACTGCTAAAACAATAAGGATCTGGAAAAATTAACCCGATCAAAAAGAGACGGTTGATCCACTAGCAACCATTTTCGCAAAACAGTCACTTGGAGCCATTTTCAGCATCGATTTCACGCACCGGGGGGGTAATCGACCTTGATTTTACCAAATCTAGGCTCACATTTCAGCGACAATGCTTGGTTTCTGCGCTTTTTAAAACCGCACAAAATCCTGGACTAAACTTCAAAAGATCATCACAAAAAAGTACCAGAATAGATTTTGATAGTTAGGTCTCAAAATCTGCGCCTTCACGTCTAGAATATTTAAATCTAATTGAGTTTCTAATTTTTCTATTAAAATTTCGAGAAAAATCCAGTTTTGTCCAAAATTTTGTTCATTTTCGAACAAAAACGTGGCGAGCACGCTGCCCCCTTGTGCAGGGGGAGCCTGCCGTAGCCCAAAAGCTATCCGTGCCTGACTGTTAAAGCCTGGAATAGCGTGTTATAGTTATCTTTAACGTAAAAATTTGGTTCCCCCGATAATGCCAAAGGACCGAAAAACCATAAAGTTGTATAAATCTACCCAATATTCATATTCTTGATGAGCCAGGTGATTCGATCGGGCGCCGACGTGGAGATGTCGTGCACCTCGGCCCTCTAGAATCGCCAGTTGATGGGTGAACGTTTTGGGACCGGCCTTGAACCTGGACATCCGGATTCGGGACAGCTTGATGACGCCCTGGTCGGCGGGCAGTCGATGCTCAATGTTGGGGATCATGAGCCGAGGAAGTTGTTCGGCTAGTAGGTTCGAGGCTACCTTAAAAAAAATTAAAAACTACTTTGTGAACTTCTAATACACTTGATTTTCCTTTTTGAAACGACAGACACCGCTGGTAAATGGGGCTGACGTAAAAAGGAGTTCAACGTAGGGGTTTTCATTAGGTTCTTTTTGGATACGTTGAAGAATCGCATAGTAATTGTTTTCCTTTTTAAGCAAAATTTAATTATAATACATCAAAAACCTATCTAAAAACATTTAAAATGTCTAAAATCCGAAATTTTGGTCGAATTTGGACTTGACAGCGGGCTTTTCGAGCTGTTCGGTGTCTTTTTACCATTGCCCTGATTCCGCAATCACCTTTTTACAATTATTTTCATACAATTATTTCTCGAGCAGAGCCGGGAATGTTAATAACCCTGACAGTGTGTACCACCACCGAGGGGTGGGAAACGAAAACGTGCCCACTTGCCCCGTCGGGGTGGCTGCTGTTCTACCCGATGGCAGTGGGTGGTGAGAGAGGTCGGTTGGGGGATGGAATGGTGAAAAAACAGGAACCGTACGCCGAGCGCACGACCCTTTTCTCGGGTCGACACCTCTAGTCAGTCAGCGAAACAGCTAGAGGACTTATGGAATAACTTTTGTTGTAGGGGTATTGGTGGTATTGGTTCGAGAAGGGGATGAGGGAAAAAGTTACCCCGATGGCCCGGAAATCTTCAAATTTTCGATAGTTTGGCGGTTATTTTGGGTATTTTTCCACAACATCTGATAGAACGTCGAAAAATACGCTAACAGCTTTGATTTCAGCCACAATTAACGTAATATAAAATAGGTATGGTATCTACACGATTTAAACACGCAGGGACATCTCTTACCTGATTCAAGTAATGTATTGCCCGGGGACGGACGCGGACCCTGACGCCCGGTTCGGGATTTCTTGAAGGCCCATCGTCATCGACTACCTGAAATTTGGACGTTTTCTCGGCTGGGTTAACTCTCGCTCTCTCTCCCTCTCTCTCTCTCTCCCTCTCTCTTTCTCTCTCTCTCGTCAATGTCAATTTTTCATAGGCATCATTGTGTCGAGGTCACTCTCAATGCCTGACCGGTCCGGACCGACATTTTTTGAAGGTTGCTAGCGCGAAGTGGGCTTCCACAATTTTCGGCTTTTCGGAAACCGGTGAGATTATGGCCAAGTGGGGGTGGGATTGTT